TTTTGGCCCGAGGTTGTCGTGGACCGCCTGTAGTCGCAATTCACGAACCTAACCCTGGAACGTTTCTGGGGTCTCCTGAGGCCCTTCGGGGACCTTCGAGGCCTCTTTGGGTCTTCTTGGGGGTTTCTGGGATGCCTCTTGGGTCTCGGGTCGTTCCTGGAGAGGTGGCTTCCAGTGGCGCGGCGATGCTTCATTCCCAACCCTCCTGCGTTGGGTACTCGTTTTGAATAGAGCACTGCGGTCTCCACCTTCCTTCCTTCCCGCCCCCCCCCTCTCTTCCCTCCTCCTCTCCTCTCTTGCTTGCCTTCTCCTCCTCTCTTCGCTCCTCCTCTTCTCTTCTCTTGCCTTTCACGTCATCCCTGGCGGGCTGCGATCTGCGGAACTGTCGCCACTTTCGAGGGCTGCTGGTGGGTCCAGCGGAGTGAGGCACCACGGGGATTCAGATTAGACCTCGCCCTCCCTGGGGGGGGGGGCTGCGATCTGTGAAACTGTCGCCACTTTCGAGGGCTGCTGGTGGGTCCAGCGGAGTGAGGCACCACGGGGATTCATATTAGACCTCGCCATCTCTGGGGGGGGCTGCGATCTGTGAAACTGTCGCCACTTTCGAGGGCTGCTGGCGGGTCCAGCGGAGTGAGGCACCACGGGGACTCATATTAGACCTCGCCATCTCTGGAGGGCTGCGATCTGTGAAACTATCGCCATTTTCGAGGGCTGCTGGTGGGTCCAGCGGAGTGAGGCACCACGGGGATTCAGATTAGACCTCGCCATCTCTGGGGGGCTGCGATCTGTGAAACTGTCGCCACTTTCGAGGGTTGCTGGTGGGTCCAGCGGAGTGAGGCACCACGGGGACTCAGATTAGACCTCGCCATCCCTGTGTGAAACTGTCGCCACTTTCGAGGCTGCTGGTGGGTCCAGCGGAGTGAGGCACCACGGGGACTCAGATTAGACCTCGCCACCCCTGGGCGGCTGCGATCTGTGAAACTGTCGCCACTTTCGAGGGCTGCTGGTGGGTGGCCAGCGGAGTGAGGCACCACGGGGACTCAGATTCTGACCACGAGCAATGCTCGCGTGCCCTTGCTCTGCGGTTCGTGCCACGTGGCGCTGCGACTCGAGCTGGCGGTCGTCCTTCGGACCCGCAGAAACATCTGCTGAGCTCGATGAGCTAGGGGAACTACAGGAAAGAAGTGCAGGAAACGGAGGCCGGTCATGCACTCGCCGATACCTCGTTGCTCTGTCATCGTCTTTGCTGTTGCATGATCCTTATCTGGCCTGCCGGCGCCGCGGCTCGAGCTGGCGGTCGCCCTTCGGGCCCGCGGGAACATCTTCTGAGACAAGTGGACGCCGCCGCCTTACTTGCAGGCAGCACATTGCATTCGCGGACAGCAGCATGGCAGACCGCAGTGAGATCCTCAGTCGCGTGGTGTTGCCAAGCCTGGTGGAGACGCGCGTGATCGACCTGAAGTCCCAATCGCGCGTGCACTGTACCTGCGTGGCGTTCAGGCGCGCGCGTGATGCTGCTCGCTCCGCGTTCAACCAGTACGTCGCCAGTGCAACTTTGGACGATGGACAACCGATTGATGATGCGCGACCCCGGCCTTGAGTTTCTTTCCCGCGGGCCGCCCGCAGACCTGGCGGCGCGCCTGCGAGCGTTCAGCTCCCGCGCTGAAATGTGCGGGAAGGAGGCGGAGAAGCTAGCGGGCGAGCTACGCCTCGCTCGTTCCTTGCACTCTAACAAGTTTTATCATGTGGAACTCTGCGACGACATGGCGCAGGCAGCGCTGCGGGTTTAGCTCGCACTTGAAAAACGCGGCAGTCTTCTGTCTCCTCCCGCCACTTTCATCGTCGTCCTATTCCCCGCCTCACCTTCTCCATGCATGCTGCTGCTTCCGCGATGGCCTTTCGCCCCCCCGCCCTCCATTCCATCCCTCTCCTACCCCTCGTTCCCGTACCCGTTCTTCTTCGATCCTGGGGCCTCAAGCCTCGTTCTTTCGATCGTCGTCCTGTGAATCGTGCAACGCATGCGCATCCCATGTAGCTTGCACAGCAAATCGCCGCGTCTACACTGTCGTTGTTCCTGCTAATGTTGGCATATTCCTCTTGCCATTTGATGCACGTGGGTTGGGTACGTCGCAGGGTAATTTTTTCCCAGCCCTCATTGGTTGGGTATTCGTTTTGAATAGAGCACTGCGGTCTTCGCTTCTCCTCCCGCTCCTCCTCCCGCTTCCCGTCTCCCGCTTCCGTCTTGTCTCCTCTTCCTTTGCGCGAACCTGGCCGTCCCTGGGGGGGCTGCGATCTGCGACACTGTCGCCACTTTCGAGGGCTGCTGGTGGTCCAGCGGAGTGATGCACCGCGGGGATCTGAGGTAGACCTCGCCGTCCCTGGGGGGGCTGCGATCTGCGAAACAGTCGCCACTTTCGAGGGCTGCTGCTGGGTCCTGCGGAGTGAGGCACCGCGGGGATCTGAGCGAGACCTCGCCGTCCCTGGGGGGCTGCGATCTGCGAAATTGTCGCCACTTTCGAGGGCTGCTGGTGGGTCCAGCGGAGTGAGGCACCGCGGTGATCTGAGGTAGACCTCGCCGTCCCTGGGGTGCTGCGATCTGCGACACCGTCGCCACTTTCGAGGGCTGCTGGTGGGCCCTGCGGACTGAGGCAACGCGGGGATCTGAGCGAGACCTCGCCGTCTTTGGGGGGCTGCGATTTGCGACACTGTCGCCACCTTCGAGGGCTGCTGGTGGGTCCTGCGGGGTGAGGCACCGCAGGGATCTGGGGTAGACCTCGCCGCCCCAGGGGGGGCGTGATCTGCGACATTGTCGCCACTTTCGAGGGCTGCTGGTGGGTCCAGCGGAGTGGGGCACCGCGGGGGTCTGAGGTAGACCTCGTCGTCCCTGGGGGGCTGCGATTTGCGACACTGTCGCCACTTTCGAGGGCTGCTGGTGGGTCCTGCGGAGTGAGGCGCCGCGGGGATCTGAGGTAGACCTCGCCGTCGGGCTGCGATCTGCGACACTGTCGCCACTTTCGGGGGCAACTGGTGGGTCCAGCGGAGTGAGGCACCGCGGGGATCTGAGGTAGACCTCGCCGTCCCTGGGGGGCTGCGATCTGCGAAATTGTCGCCACTTTCAAGGGCTGCTGGTGGGTCCAGCGGAGTGAGGCACCGCGGGGATCTGAGCGAGACCTCGCCGTCCCTGAAGTGCTGCGATCTGCGAAGCTGTCGCCACTTTCGGGGGCTGCTGGTGGGTCCAGCGGAGTGAGGCACCGTGGGGATCTGACCGAGACCTCGCCGTCCTTTGGGGGCTGCGATTTGCGACACTGTCGCCACTTTCGAGGGCTGCTGGTGGGTCCTGCGGGCTGAGGCACCGCGGGGATCTGAGGCAGACCTCGCCGTCCCTGGGGGGCTGCGATCTGCGAAACTGTCGCCACTTTCGAGGGCTGCTGGTGGGTCCTGCGGAGTGAGGCACCGCGCGGATCTGAGCGAGACCTCGCCGTCCCTGGGGTGCTGCGATCTGCGAAGCTGTCGCCACTTTCGAGGGCTGCTGGTGGGTCCTGCGGAGTGAGGCACCGCGGGGATCTGAGCGAGACCTCGCCGTCCCTGGGGGCTGCGATCTGCGATCGCCACTTTCGAGGGCTGCTGGTGGGTCCTGCGGAGTGAGGCGCCGCGGGATCTGAGCGAGACCTCGCCGTCCCTGGGGGGCTGCGATCTGCGAAACCGTCGCCACTTTCGAGGGCTGCTGGTGGGTCCTGCGGAGTGAGGTAACTACCGCGGGGATCTGAGGTAGACCTCGCCGTCCCTGGGGTGCTGCGATCTGCGAAGCTGTCGCCACCTTCGAGGGCTGCTGGTGGGTCCTGCGGAGTGAGGCACCGCGGGGATTTGGGCGAGACCTCGCCGTACTTGGGGTGCTGCGATCTGCGAAGCTGTCGCCACTTTCGGGGGCTGCTGGTGGGTCCAGCGGACTGAGGCGCCACGGGGACCTGACCGAGACCTCGCCGTCCTTTGGGGGCTGCGATTTGCGACACTGTCGCCACTTTCGAGGGCTGCTGTTGGGCCCAGCGGAGTGAGGCACCGCGGGGACCTGAACGAGACCTCGCCCTCCCTGGGGGGGGGCTGCGTTAGTAACCACTACGACGCCCTTATATCTTGATCGGGGGCCTGCGAGCCTTTCGATTGCTGCTCGCAAAAGTCACAGTCCATGTTACGTCATCGCCCCCGTTGTAGAAATCCTGATGTACTTTTGCCCCGCCTTGCGCAAGGGTTGGGTACGTCGCCGGGGTAATTTTTTGGGCCCCCTCTTCCGTAGCCATTTTGGCTCAAGCCGTTTTAGCGAAGGCGATCGCTCTTCTTGTGTGAGATTCGTGAAGCTGTTCTTACACTAGTTTAGTAGTTCTAGCTGCCAATGGCCTGGCGCGATGGGCCTCCCCGCTGCTGGATCTTGATTGTTGCCGTGATAGTTGTCCACCTAGGATGGGTTTCAGATTTTACGTTTTGTGGGTCCTTCTTGCGCTGTTCAACACTCAGGTCCGGAAGGCTAGAGTCGGCGAGCGGGCGAGTGACATGCAAGGCTGTCGTCGCAGAGATGCTCCTAGATGACAACAGCTGCGCTCCTGTCGCGGTCGCTGATCGTCGTGTGTTGCGTGCTCAAGCTGCAGGCGCAGCGCCTGGGACTTCCGGTATCCCAGTCTACCAGAAGCCCTTGCAAGCGGTGGAGCTGGACTGGGTGTTCACTAAGCAACCTGCCGAGAGTAGAGAGGAAACCTTGATTGAGAAATTTCAGGAATCATGTCGTTCTACCTCAGGCTGGTTGAAGCCAGGAGTGATAAACATCGTGACCCATCGCCGGGCGCTGAGGCGTCTCTTGGCATTCTGCTCCGTCTGTGAGGTCTGCAGTGGCCAACCCTGGCAGTCGAAAATGATGCAGCTCTCGGATGCCAGCGTCTTACCCGTTCTTCACATTCGTAAGGTAGACCGTCCCCATGGTCTGGGTACAGCGCTGATCATGACATGCCCGTATGATGTTTGGCAACAAAAACAAGAAAAGTGTTGGACCGAGCTTCGAGATGGCATTCACCTCGGGGGGTGATCCCGCTTCGCGCCATTATTTTACGCACGGTTTTTCTTTGGGCGATCTCAACTTGATTGTGCAATCTGAGGCAGACGCTGTGGATCACAAGGGAAACATCGTAGAGCTCAAAGCCAGGTTGACCTCTCGCAATAAGCCGTTCGACAAAAACAGATTCTTCAGGGAATCTGGGTTTGACACATACTTCCAGATGCTGTTCGGGGGCGCGTCCTTGCTCGTCCTGGGGTTGCACAGAACCGTCGCCCTGGACACGAGCGAGGTCGACCCATCTCAGATAGAAGAACTCAGCATTGACGATGTGAAAACCAACTTGCCACAACCGTCGGTGGCTGACGAGCTGTTGGGGCGTGCTGCTGAGATCTTGAGAGCTGTGAGCGAAGCCTGTGCTCTTTCATCGCAGTGCAACCGCTTTGACTTAGCACTTGATCGTGATTCCAAGTCACTTGCGCTATCAACGACAGAGTAGCCGGCTGAATCCTTGGTTGGCACCGTGTTGTTTGCCAATTCGGCACCCTGGGTCACCCCCTTCGGCGTCGACTCGCAGCGGCGCTTGCAGGAGGAGGAGGAGAGGGAGGAGGAGGATCAGACGCTCGGGGGTGGAGGGTACGCCTGAGACGACATTGGTCGCGCTCGTGTGACTGCGCTCCGCAGGCTCCCCAGAGCAAAGGGTCTAGGATGCGTCTTTTTTCCGCGCAGCAGCTGACATATAACATTAGTCGCTCTGGGGCGTCCCACAGGAGCGACTGGTCATCCACAGGAGCGACCGGTGCACGCAGATCTTGTTTTGTTGCGCAACGTTGTTGGCCGCGCAGTGGCGGAAAACCGCGGCTGGAGCTGGCCACGTTGTATGATTTGCATGTCTGTTGGTGCGCCAACTTTTTGGCACAGTGCCGCTGACCAGATGCATCGGTGGCGTGCCTGGAAGAACAAATTGGGTCCCCTCTTGGGGCCGTTTTGTGGGCCCGCTAGTAAGTGGTGGGTGGGTCGATTTGAGAAAACGCCATGCGTTCCATCAGTCATCTGTCACGTATTCTAACACGCCCCAACATGCCACGTGCATGGTCGTTGTCGATCCCCTCGAAGAAGCAGCGTAATTCAACTATCCTGAGGCCCATCATGGAACCCTCTTAGGGCCGGAGGCCAGGATGGCCACTTCTGTACCGCCTCGGCGTGTTCTGGAGCCGTTTTTCCTCCCTCCTGCATGCTGGTCAATTCGCTTTTCGGTTGCCCCGAATAGCCACACGCTGGAGCGGATTGCCACTTCCTTGCCGCCGACGGAAAAGCGTTTCGGAGCCGCCTTGGAGTCCCCTCGGGACGGTTTTTGGTCTATCCCGGGAGGTCCTCGGGCCGTCCTAGGGTTGCTTCAGGCCCTCCGCATGGGGCTGTCTCGGGGCCGCCTGGCTGAAACCTTCTCAAGGCCATCCTAATTTCAAAGCCTAAGAAGCATTCATATTGAGCGCGTCAAGGCTTTGCAGCAGTATTGACTCCCAGAGCACTGCTGCAGAACTTTAAGGCCATTTCTTGGGGGTTGTTTTCTTCGGGGGCCTCTCAGGGCTTCTTGGGGACATCGTCGAACCTCTGGAGGATCTCGCGGCCTTTACGGGCTTTTGCCTTTGAGGCATCTTGCAGCATTCTTGCGGCGGCCCTGGGCATTCTTGGGACTGTCCGGTGGCTGGGAAGAGCGTCCGAGTAGCAAACAGGGGGCGGTCTTTTGTACCTTGGCACCACTCGGACGTGTGCATTTTTTCTCGGCGAGGACCATCGAGGAGCACCTTGGGTCATCTTGCGAAAAAGACGCGCGAAATCGAACCATGCACGGGGAATGGACGTCCGAGCGATGGCAAGTGTGCGAGTACGCCTCCAACAGGGAGCTCGCACCTGGAAAGCTACATAAAGCCTACCACCCACCTGCTTAGCAAGCCATCCCTCACGCCTCACCGCACCCATGCCGTCAGAACGGTAGAGGACGATCGTTGAGTGCAGCATTCGTTGATATAGTCAGGACGCTTCAGTAAGGAACAGTGTGGGCACGAAAGGGGCTCGGTGTTCCTTAGGTCATCATGTGGTTGTTCCTCTCGCCCTCCTCGTGCACGCTGGTGCTTTCGGGGCCAGAAGGGGCTTCGTTCCTTATCAACCCTTCCTTCTTCAATCGCTTCGCTCATTCCGCCGGCCCATATTGCGCACCGCGGTCGACTTGCTGAGAGGTCGTCGGCAATGCGGAACTGCAGGGGGCGGCGACCTTTTTTTTCCCAACCATCCTGTGGTGTTGGGTCCTCGTTTTGAAGAGACGTCGCCCCGCGTTCCTCCTCCTTTTTTTTCTCCTCCTCCTTCTCTCTCCTCCATCACCATCACCATCACCATAATCATCATCATCATCATCATCATCATCATCATCATCATCATCATCATCATCATCATCATCATCATCATCATCATCATCATCATCATCACCATCATCATCATCATCATCATCATCATCATCATCATCATCATCATCATCACATCATCATCATCATCATCATCATCATCATCATCATCATCATCATCATCATCATCATCATCATCACCCGTCTCTTCATACCCCTCACACGTTTCGTGGCCCCACAGGGAGCCCCACCGAAGGTCCCAGTGCTGGCGTCCGCATGCGTCCCCCCCACCCAGTACAGCGTTTCGTGGCCCCAGTGGGAGCCCCACCGAAGATCCCAGTGCTACCGTCCGCATGCGTCCCCCCACCCAGTACAGCGTTTCGTGGCCCCATCGGGGGCCCCACCGAAGGTCCCAGTGCTACCGTCCGCATGCGTCCCCCCCACCCAGTACAGCGTTTCGTGGCCCCAGTGGGAGCCCCACTGAAGGTCCCAGTGCTACCGTTCGCATGCGTCCCCCCACCCAGTACAGCGTTTTCGTGGCCCCATAGGGAGCCCCACCGAAGGTCCCCAGTGCTACTGTCTGCATGCGTCCCCCCCCCCAGTACAGCGTCCCCCCCACCGAAGGTTGCTACCGTCCGCATGCGTCGTACAAGTTGCTACCGTCCGGCGTCCCATACAGCGCTTCGTGGCCCCATAGGGAGCCCCACCGAAGGTCCCAGTGCTACCGTCCGCATGCGTCCCCCTCACCAGTACAGCGCTTCGTGGCCCCATAGGGAGCCCCACCGAAGGTCCCAGTGCTACCGTCCGCATGCGTCCCCCCCCACCCAGTACAGCGTTTCGTGGCCCCATAGGGAGCCCCACCGAAGGTCCCAGTGCTACCGTCCGCATGCGTCCCCCACCCAGTACAGCGCTTCGTGGCCCCATAGGGAGCCCCACCGAAGGTCCCAGTGCTACCGTCCGCATGCGTCCCCCCCTCCCAGTACAGCCTTTCGTGGCCCCATAGGGAGCCCCACCGAAGGTCCCAGTGCTACCGTCAGCATGCGTCCCCCACGCCCAGTACAGCGTTCCGTGGCTCCGCAGGGAGCCGCCCCGAAGGTCCCCAGTGTTACCGTTCGCATGCGTCCCCCCTACCCAGTACAGCGTTTCGTGGCCCCATAGGGAGCTGTGCTACTGTCCGCATGCGTCCCCCCCCCCCCCCTGTACAGCGCTTCGTGGCCCCATAGAGAGCCCCACCGAAGCCCCTGGGATTGTCCGCATGCGCCCCTGAAATCTAATTTGGCATTTTCACCCCATCCAGTACGGCGTTTCGTGGTCCCATAGAGAGCCCCACCGAAGCCCCCAGTGGGACTGTCCGCATGCGTCCCTGAAACACAAGTTTGGTATTTTCACACCACCCACTACGGCGTTTCGTGACCCCGTAGAGAGCTCCACCGAAGCCCCCAGTGGGACCGTCCGCATGCGTCTCGGAAACCCGCTTTGGCATTTTCATCCACCCAGTGCAACGCTTCGTGGCCCCATAGGTAGCTTCGCCGAAGCCCCCAGTGGGACCGTCCGCATGCGTCCCGGAAGCCAGATTTGGCACACCCCTCATACGCTTCGTGACCCCATAGGGAGCTCCACCGAAGTCACCAGTGGGACCGCCCGCATGCGTCCCACACACCAGGTTTTGCATTTTCTCCCCACCCAGTACGGCGCTTCGTGGCCCTCTAAGGAGTTCGCCCGACGGCCCCAGTTCTACCGCCCGCATGCGTTTCCCCCCACCCAGTGCAGCGCTTCGTGGCCCCATAGGGAGCTCCACCGAAGCCCCCAGTGGGACCGTCCGCATGCGTCCTGGAAACCAAAATGTGGCACACCCCTCATACGTTTCGTGGCCCCATAGGGAGCTCCACCGAAGCCACCAGTGGGACCGCCCGCATGCGTCCCACACACCAAATTTGGCATTTTCACCCCACCCAGTACTTCGTTTCGTGGCCCCATAGGGAGTTCGCCCGACGGCCCCAGTTCTACCGCCCGCATGCGTTCCCCCCCACCCAGTGCAGCGCTTCGTTGCCCCATAGGGAGCTCCACCGAAGAAAATATTCACAATTGGGGTACCCACAACTGTGTATGGTTGGATCCGTCGCCAGGATAATTTTCTCAGGCGTTGTGTTCGGCATGTTTGTGTTGAAGCCGCCCCCGTGGAACAGCTTCGTGTCGATTCGTGGCGATCCTCCAGGAGTGTATTTGCCATCGCCAAGAATGAGCTGAGGTGGCCCTGCAGCGATCTTTTGGGCCTCTTGGGGGTATTTTTGGGGCCTTTTGGAGGCCTCTTGGGGGCCTCTTGGGAGCCTCTTGGGGTTCCTTGGCGGTGTCTTGTGGGCCCCTGCAGCCTCTTAAGGGGCTCTTGGGGACCTCTTGGGTCAGGAGGGGGGGTAGTCGATTGCGCCCCTCCCTTCGGAGGCCACGATCCTCGTGAGGGGTGTCGGAAAATTGCCCGGTCTGGCATCTCTGATCCGAGTGTCCCGGGGGTGTCCTGGGGGTCTCCCGGGGTCTCCCTGGGTACTTTTCGTCCAGGGACCCCCAGGGGCGGCCTCGCGCGCACGAACTAGAATATTGTTAACCAGTTACCGGAGATCTTAGCACGCCCTTGGCCCGTTGGGCCGGCGAATTTCAGCGACCCGACAGTAGTCGAGTATCCGAAGCAGTTGTGCTTGACGATGTCACAGAACTTGCTAGGCATGACGAGGCTGCTAGATCTCCGGATTCTCATCGGAGGGCTTCACACTCTCTTCTATCCAGGAGAGCGTTGTTGCTCCGATCGAGTGTTCACGCTGTGCAGGTGCGCTGGCGTTTCTGCACTACGCATCAGTCGTTGGGTTGCACTTCAGCTGATTTACAGCACGACGTTTTCTCAAGGAAGCACGAGGCCGCTCGAACCTTACTTCTCATCAGAGTGCTTGGCACTCTGGCGAAATCAGTGCGTGTCATCTGATGCCAAGATAATATGGTAGTTCTGGTCGAATGCTCATACTTATACTGTCCAGGTGCGCTTGCGTTACCGCTGTATGCAGCAGCCATTGCTTTAATTTTCCAGGAACGGAGAGACTGCCTTCACGCATAC